AGGTAATGCTGTGTGAGGTAGTCATCTCCCGTACGCCACTAGCTTTGTGAAGTGTATTGTTTAAACTGTATACATGAGAAATTACGACGCTTTGTGAAATCTATTTTTTTTTACGTGGTGTATGCATTAAACCGTTAATTCACTGGGCCCTAGGCTCACCCAACTCCTTTCAAAAATAATTATGCAACCAGGTCGTCTCGTACACGGGAATAGTAGCAAGGGAAAGGAGAAAGTTTAGAACCAGCTATCGCGGAATAAAGGCTTGGCGTGGAGACTATCCGGAATTTGATATAGATATCTTTAGACATAAGTTCCTTTTAAGTTTTATTAGTTTTAAAAAAATGATATATATACTTCCGTTGCGTTGAACTATTTAGATTTTATGGCTTATTTATGTTTGGACGTTATTATATTATGAAAAAAAAAAAATTTGGGTCTTTACAAGGACAATACCAAATTTATCAGAGAGCTCAAGCTCTTCCTCATTTGGCAAAGTCCAGTTAAATGAATGCAACAACGAAGCCAAAAGATACACCAACATTTTCTCTCCCAAACGAATTCCAGGACACTTTCTTCTCCCACATCCAAATGGGAAGTATTTGAAATTGTATCCGTTGTAATCAAATCTGGTTGTTCCATCAAGATTTATGAACCTTTCAGGAATGAATTTCAAGGGATTGTCCCAATATTCAGGATTCCTATGGATGGCCCAAACATTCAAATATATGTTGGAATCCTCTGGGACTGTGTATCCACCTACCTCACAGGATTGACTTGGAGACCGCAGTAGCAAGAAAGGAAGTGGAGGGTGTAATCGAAATGTTTCCTTAACCACTGCATCTAGGTGATATAATTTTGGGATATGAGATTCTTCGACGATGTTGTTTAGGCCTACGACTTCTTCTAATTCATTATGTACCTGTTTCATTATCTTTGGATGTCGTAAAAGCTCTGCCATTATCCATTGTACCATCGTAGATGTTGTGTCAGTTGCTCCAAGTATGGTGTCCTGGTTGAATAAAATAGGGGGATTAATACATGAAATGGATGTAGAAAGACTTACAATTCTCATCAAACAAATACACTGAAAATGCTACGAGGTTAAAATATATTCTTACAAAAAATTTGAATACAAATAATGTTTATTATGACCTATGTGATTGCTTTTAACCATCAAAAACTTGAACACTTTTTTTTTCCTATCTTAGTTGTTCGGACACGAATCAACAAAACCTTAGCTGGATCGCATTTGGACTTGATTTTCGGTTCCAATCATTCAAGGACATCCAAAATAATTGAGTAAACTACTACTTTTGTCCTGTGGTTTATGGATTATGACCACATTCGTTCTTGATTTTTAAAAGATGTTTTTCCGTCATCATAATTTTTATTATGCTTCCGTTATTCGTTTCTGAAGGTTGATGTTGTTAATTTTTTTTTAAGATGGAGATATTTTGGTCTTTTAAGCTTTTTCTTTAGAATTTAAAAGATATTAAATATATATTATTTATATTATACACAAACCATACTTAGATCATTCACATACCCACAATTCATTTATATTTTCAATTATACGACATCCACTTTTGAAATTATCATCTATACACCTGCAATTCACATACACTTTTAAAAGTGGTCCACACTACAACATTCATGAACTACTTTACACGATATATACTTCTTTATTTTTATTTTATGTGAACTAAAATGTAAACATTAATTTCAAAATTCAATGTTTAAATTAATTTAACTATACTGTATTGAAAATTTGCCCAAAATGACCACTTTATATATGGTACAATAACAAAAATACCACTTTTCAGACATTTCTCGAAAAATAACCACAAAAAACGCCTCCATTTTACTTTATTGGGGCGATTTTGGGATTTGAGGGTACGGATAGGTCCTACATGCATACTATTTGGAGGACAAAAATCTATTTTTTTAACATCTTCATGCAAATCGCTCTACTCTAATGCAAGTCGCCCTCGGGGGCGATTTTGACCTTTATTTTGTCATGTAGTGGAGACATTTTATGATGCTTCTTTTAGTTGATTTGATTACTCAATAACGATGTGATTAGACATAGGACCAATTCTACATGGTATTTCGTCTTTTTAGGACCAAATATACCATATATAACTCTTATAGAATTCTAAATAAAAATATAGTAATCCAAACACTTATAGTTTTACAACCTTTAACCCTTAAACACAATATACCATGACAACTATTAACACAAATATGAATTCTCTTTTAAGAGTTGTGATGGTAGATTGTGTTCAAGGGTTGCGAGAGTAGAAGTGTTTGGATTACTACACTTTTATATAGAATAATACAAAAGTTATTTATATTACATTTGGTCCTAAAAAAGATAACATACCAATGAAATTCGCCCCCAATGTCTAGTCATGTCGTCATAGAGTTGTGAAATCAACCAAAAAGTTACGTCATAGTCTCCGCTACAGGACAACATAAAGGTCCAAATCGCCCCGGGGGCGATTTGCATAAAGATGTTAAAAGAATCATATTTTTGTCTCACAAATGGTATACATATGAGGCCCATCCGTACCCTCAAATCCCATATTGTCCCCAATAAAGTAACATCGTCCTCCACGGGTGATTTTTGTGGTTATTTTGAGAGAAATGTCTAAAAAATAGTCATTTTGTTAGTGTACCTTGTATAAAGTGATCATTTTTTATAATTTCTCTATTGTATTTATACTTTATTAAAAATAATATATATATATATATATATATATGTGTGTGTGTGTGTGTGTGTGCAATTTAAGAAAGCACAACAATTGAAATAGGCAGTCCATGTTGGTATCGAAGTTATTCCCATGTTCTGATCTTTCCATTTTTTTGCCCATTTCTTGGGTAAAATCTCCCAATTATATTTGAAAATGAATTGGTTATTCATAAAGAAAAAGAAAGCTTTCTTGTAGTTCCACTTCTTCCTCTACAAATTAGGAAAGATTTATTGGAAATCGCTAGTTGGCTTGGTCCGACCAAGAAAGRCATGGGACTCTTTGGACATTGCTTGAGATAAGTCAAGACTGACTATCTCTATATACACAATACTTTATAAGGCGAAGAGTTAGTACTTTTTCCTTCTCGTASTTCTACTTGTTAATTAAAAAGAGCGTATAAAAAAGGGGTTGCAGCCCAATCCCTCATTCGATTTCTTAATCGATAAGCAGCCCGTAAGTAAACTTAAATCGTCTTTTACCGATGAACTCCTTTTTTTAAGTGTAAGATCGAGAGGAGAAAGCGGAATCAAAGAAGAAAACGAATTCCGAGATCTGGATGCGAGTCAGAAGTTTTTCAACTGAAGCAAAGTAAAGGGCAAATATATATATATAAGGTTGGGTTTACGTGAAACCAAGGGTTTTTCGTGAGACCCAGGGTTTTTCGTGAGACCCGTAAGACCAATTTATGTTCATTGATCAAATTTATAAGCTAATGATCTAATGGTCTAAAGTTGTGCGGTAGCAATTTTGTGATTATTGAGAATTCTCATGGCAATTTGTGATTATGAATATCTAGATTGTAGATTTATTCAAGGGTTGAGAATTGGTCTTACGGGTTTCATAAAAAACTCTTATAGTCTCGCACGATCCCAAGTCTAAAACCGGAGTTAGTGTGTAATAAAAGGGCCAAGTCTCGGTATTCCTTATTTTCTTCATTTTTTAAAATTTGTTGGAGATGTTTTAAAAAAAATTACGAGAATGACAATTTATTTGGTCAATTATATATTAATGTTTAATAGTAACTTAATTATATAGAAATTGACTAATTATTTAAGCTTCTAGAATTTCCAAATAATCTCTAAAATACGTACCATGAAAAGGGCTTTAATTTGGGTGATAGTAAACGACGATGTGGACTTTTCTTCTCTAAGCTCCAGTAAAATCTGCAACAAATCTCTTCTGCCCTCTTCCTCTGTTGTTTCTTCCACTTTACTCGCCATCCTCTCATTAATGATCCTGTCGAAAATCCCTTCCACCACCATCCTTTGCCGCCTCTTTTCTCCCACCACGCCCTGTAAATCCAATCTAGCCACCACCGGAAAAAAGTCCGACACGTTCGCCGTTCCCAGAAGCTCCACTATCTTCAAAAGCACTTGCCGTAACTCCACTCCAAGATCGTCACTTTTTTATTTAATTTACATTTATATTTCTTACTTTTTTATTTTACACCCTTATTATTAACYTAAAAAATCATATATGAACAAAAATACATTTCTTTTTTTACAAATTATAGCATTTTAATCGTTTTTGTTAGTGCCTTCAAAATAAGCTCAATACTAAATATTTTTTGGATTTATTCATGCTATTAAATATCATTAATAGCTACATAATGATGGATTAACTGAAATACATTAAAAAAAACCTATTTCCATTTTGTTATTATAAATTATATGATTATAATCTTCTCGTCAATATCTTCAAAATAAGTTTATTATTAAATATTTATTAAATTTAATAATATCATAAATATGTATGAATCTATTTCGTACAAAATGATTTTACTTTCGATCTTGTTCATTAATTACAAATTTCAAAGTTACAAACACCTAATATATAAGTTGGTCTCTAAAGGCTAAGAACTGTAAATGATATGGGTTTTATGACCTTCTATCCAGCTATTCAATTTCAAAATCTTTAATCAAACAAAAATATTAATTTTGAACTTGATTTCCAATTTAAATTGTAACAAAATAAAAGATGAAATAAGATTGCCGTTTTGGGTTCTCCACTTCATAATCGAGATGCTTTGCGCAACAATGTGCACAAGTACATTACTCAGTGTTGGAAAAAAACAAGGCATGGGTTCCATTGTTCTTGTTTCTTTTCAAAACCATTCACGCTACTATATGCAGTTTTTCATTTAAAATCAGATTAAATCATGCATTGAACATGTAAAAAGGTAAGTACTGGAATTGTTGTATGCAAGAAGGAAATTAGTAAATAGAGGTACATTTAGTCGAGTCCATCTTAAAATTGTATCAACAATTATTTAATGTACCATTACATCGAGAAATTATTACACATGAAATTGATGCAGATTCAAATTCTATTACATGTAGAGGTTTTTATCTGGTAACCTTTGGGAAGGAATAGCTATTAGTGGATTTCTTTTCTTTAAGACGATGCCAAATTTATCAGAGAGCTCCAGCTCTTTGTCATTTGGCGAAGTCCAATCAAATGAATGCAACAACGAAGCCAAAAGATACACCAACATTTTCTCTCCCAAGCGAATTCCAGGACACTTTCTTCTCCCAGATCCAAAGGGGAAGTATTTGAGATTGTGTCCGTCGTAATCAAATTTGGTTGTTCCATCAGGATTTATAAACCTTTTAGGAGTGAATTCTAAGGGATTGTCCCAATATTCAGGATTCCTATGTATGGCCCAAACATTCAAATATACATTGGAGCCCTTTGGGACTATGTATCCACCTACCTTACAAGATTGAGTTGGAGACCGCAATACCAAGAAAGGAAGTGGAGGGTGTAATCGAAATGTTTCTTTAATTACTGCATCAAGGTGATATAGTTTTGGGATGTGAGATTCTTCAACGATGTTGCTTAGGCCTACGACTTCTTCTAATTCATCTTGCACCTTTTTCATTATCTTTGGATGTTGTAAAAGCTCTGCCATTATCCATTCTACCATGATAGATGTTGTCTCTGTTGATCCAAGTATAATGTCCTGTTTCATCGAAATTGGGAGATTAATATATTAAATGGATATAGAAAGTTAAGCCTATATCTTCACCAAACAAATATATTGAAAATACTATTGATTAAAAATATATAATTAGTAACATTTAAATAATCACACATGTTACACCATCAAAAAAATTGAAGATTTTTGTTCCTAATTTTAGTTCTCGACACCTGAATCAAAACCTTTAGCGGGATCGGTTAGTCGGGTTTTCCTCTCTCTAATCATTCAAGGCCATCAAAAGAAATCGAGTTATCTATTATTTTTGTTGGGTCGGTCTAGTTGTTCTGGTTTTTGTGCACTCCAAGCTGATCAACTAAATACGTTTAAAAAAATTAATTGATAAATTAGTTAAAAAAAATAAAATGACAAAAAAGACTTTTTAAAATATTAGTCAATATCACATTATAAAATATAATTAAAACAAATCACTAATTAAAAAATGTTAATTAATATAAACCAATTTGTGAGAAAGATAATAAAATATGTTAGATCATCTCCAATCTTAACACTAAAAAAAGAAGAAGAAAAATACCGAATCTTGTGGGCCTATTAACACAAGAAAATCTCAACTCTAACCACAATATAAAAAAACACTAAATTTATGGAACTCGTATTAGAATAACATATTTCATTTACTATTAAACTTTTTTAATAACAATAGTTATAATTTATGAATGCATGATAATAAATAATTAGTAGTTAATTTATTTAATGAATACTCATTGAAATAAAAACGATAAAATTTTAATTAATAAATGTGTGTGTGTGTGCAATTTAAGAAAGCACAACA